AAAATACCTTCCTCTTGGTGAAAGGAGTTCAATGGTTGAGCTAAGCTGGACCGCCTGGTATTTCCTTACTTCTAAGATAAGGCACGCACAGATGATAGTAATTAATGGGCTAGCTGAAAACTAATAAGATAAGACTTGTGAATTGCCTTTGTGGGAGAAGTATGAAGTCTTTTCGAGGGTTCGCATCGATCTAGAGAAAAGAAAAAGCCTCTTCTTCTCAGCTCATAATTATTTAAGGGGCTTCCCTGTTAAAGGGTGAGCTGTTTCCGAATCACGCTTAACTTTTAGAATAACAAACTGAAGTATCCTTCCTTTCTAGTAAGGCGCTTCGGAATACTGCCACTCAGAGCGCTTTCTTCTCTTTTCTCAGCTCTGTAGCGCACTTAGCAGCTTTGAAATGCTCTTTTTATATGTAATGGGCAAAAGGCATGATTTCATGTCAATTTCGGTGTGGCTCCAGTTTGCGTGTTCCAGCTTAATTATTAGTCTTTCTGAGCTTCGAGAGAATTTACCTTCTCACTTTGAATTACTGCTTTCGGGAACGAAACTATTTCCAAGCACGAATTTCCAGTCCTCCAGCAGAGCCCTTTTTTCCCAGCTGCAGCAACAGTTTGCAGATGATGCAGACCGTCAACCTAGCACAGAGTTCCCAAGCTCCTTAAACGGCAGTGGCCTGGGCTGCGACACAAGCAGTTTTTCCACACTTCTGCTTACTCCACACTCCTACAGATGTTCCTCTGTCTACATCTGCCCTACTCCAGGCGTTTATGAATCAGACCGAGTAGACGCTGCCTGTAAAATGAAATTTGGAGCTGAGCCCATACTTCCCTGAGGGATCTTGGCCTGGCTCGCGATCCGGCCGCCCGCAGCGACATTCCGCCCCTTGCTGAGCTACGCTGTCCCCGTAGTTCGCGCTGATTTTACTCGCCGCGCACACTGCCGCATGCGCTCATGTTTGTCTCCTCTCCCCGCTTTCTCCGCTCTCGGGCAACGCATAAATCAAAACAGCCCGCGCCTCGTCTCGCGCAGCCCGATCGCGCCGGGCCCCAGGCTTGCCCTGCCTCCCCGCCGCTCGGCGCCGCGGCCGCGCACGGTCGTTTCTCCTCATCTTCCCCGCTCTTGCCGCGCCCCCTCTTTTTTCGCTCGTGCCGCTCCGCCCCAGCGCGCGCGCGTACCCGCTCTGTTCGAACTTTCTTCGGCGCCCGGTCCCGCTCTGCCGCGCCCCATGCGCCGGCCCCCGGCCTGCCATGCCCGGATCGTGCACCGGCTCCCCGTGCGCTTGGTCCCCCGCGTGCCCACGTCCGCAAGCTCGAGCATGCGTATCGCGCCCGGCCAGAGCGTATCGCCTCCTTTTGGGCCAGCCTCTCCGGCTCCGGATCCCCGAGCTCGCCGCTCGCGCCTCCCATGCTCGGCGTCGCCTATCATTCTTCCCCAATAAAGAGTGCAAAAAATACTATTAAAATAGCGTAACTCGTGAAAATGCCGTGGGAGAAACCAGAGGAATTGAAAATCATTTGAGCAAGCATGGCAACTACATACAAAAACGCTGCAGTTCAACTGCCTCCATGCCCACTAAAACTCGACGTTCTTGCCCACAGCCAGCAAGTGCACAAAACTCCAACAAGTGCAAGCTTCAGGCGCAATCCTCAGACCACGTTTTCGCCACCAGCAACACCGCTTGCCACAGCCGTCCCTTTTGGGTATGGTCGCTTCTCTTCTGGAGTTAGAGTCACAAGCATGCTGAGGAACTTGCTATACACAAATTACCTGTAGCAGCTATTCGAATCAGGTGATCCAACACGCTTTCCAGGGGCCTCAGGATTGATGTTGAATGAATAAGCCACGCAGGAACTTGAAAAGACTGGGTGGGTTGTAAAGCCTGCCTAAAGGGACAAAACCGTGAGGGGGACGGCGATACGTAACGCCCCAAAGCGGACAATACTTACCAAGGGGAGGGCTATGACATATGAGCTTAAATGCTAGATGGAATGTTGGATGAATTGAATAGTTTTTCCAGCCTGCCATATAGCCGAAAGGCATGATAGAGCTATAGCGAGCAAGCACTGGGTGAGATACTGCCTTCTATGTATGCCTTTGTGGGTGAGACTAATGATCCTACAACTCGTATACTATAGAAAGAGTTTCAATAGCAGAGGCTGATAGCATAAAGGTCCAACCAATGAATGTTCTTCTTTCTTCTATAGGGGAATGAGCGTGACGGCATCGTGAGAGGAGTCATATGTAGACCTGAGTGAGAGTATTGACCCCTGATTAATTCATAAGAGAAGAATCCTACAGAACCTTGGAAAGGTTCCACTTGACAAGTTCAGTCTATTAAACGAGATTTTTGTTCAAAGAATGAAGCTTGGAATGAATCTGATATCTTTTCTTTCTTCTCTTACTTGTTGAACTAATAAGGACATGATTCAGAGCCTTTAATTTATAAATTACTCTTCTCTCCTTTATTAGGATAATAAAAAAAGAGAAATCCACCTTTGTAAAGTTAAAGTAAAGTCTCTTGGAGGTGAAAATAAGGCCTTTACTCTAGCTGCTCTTGGTACTTGAGTAAGGTCATGGCAAGGAAGTTCTCCAACAACAACAACTCGATAATACTTGACGACATCGTGCACACATAGTGCAGAAGTGATTCCCAAGGAAGGGTGGGTACAGTTAGTCTGTGAACAGCCAACCATCGCATTATAATAATTGGTTCGATATAAACTTGCTAATAGGGGGCCTCATAATAAAATAAAAGGATCTACTAAATGAATCAAGTTGTGCCAAAGGATCAAAATGGCTAGATGACCTTGTGGCGGGGGGGGGGGGGGGGGGGGGGTAGGTTGAAAAGTTCAGATCTCGCTGGGTAGACTTCATTGTGGAGTCTGCCAGAGTCGGGTCTGTTTGTCGAGTTGCTGAGTGTCTGTATTTGATGCTGAATTTTTCTGGGGTAAGATAAAAAAAAGAACGAGATGGCAAGATCCAAAAATAAAAGACAATCAGGTCATGAAGAGGATAAGGAAAATTCAGTGACAAACTGTTAGTGCATTTGCAATATTCCCTGGCCCATCTCTAATATCTTTGACCTCAGCAGTCCCGACTTCCTGGCCTTCCTTCGTTTAGGGGATTATCCAGCAGTGGCACGGTAGTGGTCTGCAAGGCAATATATTAGCATTGGTAATTAAGAAAGCATTCCAGTGCCGAGAGGAATGAACCCCGAGATAGGATTCCGTACAGGCACCGAGCATTTCTCCTGAGGCTCCAGTGTTAACACAGCTAGTTTCGGGTAGACCGTATGATGTATACAGTGATGCTTTGCATAATGGATTGGGTTGTGTGCTTATGCAGGAGGGTAACGTAGTTGCTTATGCTTCTAGACAACTTAAATCTCACGAGAAGAACTACCCTACTCATGATTTGGAGTTAGCAGTTATAGTCTTCGCTTTCAAGATTTGGAGGCATTACTTGTATGGTGAGAAATGCCATCTATATATGGATCATAAGAGTCTCAAGTATCTGCTTACTCAAAAGGAGCTTAATCTGAGACAGCGCAGATGGGTAGAGCTACTTAAGGACTACGACTTCACCATTGATTACAATCCGGGTAAAGAAAAAAGGCGCCTGACTCTAGAACAGACCGTGACACGCCAACCTCTCTCTTAATGAGCCCCGATGGTCCCCTCTCCCCGTTGCGGGTCGAAGCCATATTCTACCTCTGCCCCCGGCAAGGAAAGATATCCCTCGTGGGGCCCACGCTCAGTGCTCTTGGGCTATTGCACGTGTACCCGCCATCATCCGTGACAAGAAGACAAAGGTGGGGAAAGCCTAAGAAATAGAAGCGAAATTACACTCCTATTTCTTCTTCTCGGAATCAACTAACTCTGGGCCTCCAACCCGTTAGCCTTAGAAAAGCCAAACATCTGCCTTTGTAAAGCTTCACTTTACTATGAGTTTCTTGTACCGGTGCTTTTTCTCCTCTACTGCTCTATTGCAGGGATCCAGAATCGATCTTCAATTCAAAGCCTTTTACCAGGCCTCAAGGCCAAGACAGTATAAGGAAAAGGGAAATGCAGATCTCATGTAGAAGACAGATAACGGAAAAGAACCATACTTTTGAAATTCAGCTCTTAACGGACACCCTATAACTGTGCTGGTTGTTTCCTAGGCTATTAAAGAGTCGACCTCTGAAAGGAATGAACGTTTTAAGAGTTTTCGAGAAGGGGATTTCCTATTGCCGAAGTGGGAGTGATTTGAAATTACCACTTCGTATCGTATGCGTATGTTGAAGGAACATGCAATGAAAGCAGCCCCGGAGTGGAGCTGCCAAATACGATTCTAAACCCATAAGAGGTCCTATGGCCCATCAGGGATCGGGACAGCAGTTTCATTCTTGCATTCATCAAGTAATTGTTGAAAATGCTTAAACACATTGGATTCGCGAAAGAGCTGCCTGCTCCCACATATCTGCTTTGCTTATCTTTCTTAAGGTGCTTTTCCGCCGCCTTGGGGATCCATGTCGGACTGAAATTGCATATAAGAATTTCATATGAATAAAGGCAGAAAGAGGCGTAGCTAATGTTATCTGGTTTTTTCATTACCTGGATGCACATACCTATCAGAACACATGCTCTATAAGTATAGGCTCACGGATTCGGGTCTTTCGTAATTAGATAGCTGTAGATAAGACTTAGTTACAGCATCGTAGCAGCGTTGGCCGTCTAAGTAACGGATGTTTTCTCCATATTAATTGGCATTCTACTTCCGTGGTTTAGCAGTAAAGTTAGAGTAGAAGCAGGCTTTCGCTTTTTCTCTCGTTGAATGATCAAATACCTGCACTGAGATTTGGACGCAGAATGCACTACGGGGGACTGAGTTGGCGCGTAGAATGAAAAGTAGACAAGGTCGGGGACGGAGATGATAGCCATTTCAAGCTTGAAATCACAAATCGAAATGTGCCCTTAACGCCTGGTCACTCTCGTGGGTAAGGGGAGCTTCTAGTTCGGATGACGAGAAATATCGTAATAGAAGACAACCAGACTACAAAGGATCAGCTTGGTGGCGTTGCACCTTACCTATTGTTATCTAGAGTAAGCGGCTCCTTCACGTCGGCCTGGGGCTAACCTACGTAACGTATCACCAAATCCTTATCCCGTTTTCTGTTCTATGGTCGACCAAGTGGCAACGCAAGCAACTGTAGTAATCCGAAAAGTCTGCCTGGGGGGGACAGAGGCCAGTACAAGAGAAGTGAAGAAAGCCGAAAGATGAAAATGGCTAATATTTTTACGACAAACTGGTCCGATGGCTGTTTCCCTCCACTAACCACACAGGATATAGGGCCTCTGATATTTTCATCTCTCGGGTGCCAAATTGTTCGAGTGCTGGGGCACATGCTTCTCAGTACTGATTCGTATGGGAATTAGCACGACCCGGCGATCAAATTCTTTTGGTGGGGAAATCATCAACTTTAATAATGTTTAATAACGGGTCACGCTTTTTTTTTTTTTTAATGATCTTTTTTATGGTTATGCCGGCGATGATAGGTGGATTTGGTAATTGGTTTGTTCCGATTCTGATAGGTGCACCTGACATGGCATTTCCACGATTAAATAATATATCATTCTGGTTGTTGCCACCAAGTCTCTTGCTCCTATTAAGCTCAGCCTTAGTAGAAGTGGGCAGCGGCACTGGGTGGACGGTCTATCCGCCCTTAAGTGGTATTACCAGCCATTCTGGAGGAGCAGTTGATTTAGCAATTTTTAGTCTTCATCTATCAGGTGTTTCATCAATTTTAGGTTCTATCAATTTTATAACAACTATCTTCAACATGCGTGGACCTGGAATGACTATGCATAGATTACCACTTTTTGTGTGGTCCGTTCTAGTGACAGCATTCCTACTTTTATTATCACTTCCGGTACTGGCAGGGGCAATTACAATGTTATTAACCGATCGAAACTTTAATACAACCTTTTTTGATCCTGCAGGAGGGGGAGACCCAATATTATACCAGCATCTCTTTTGGTTCTTGGACCAATAATTATACCCAGCAAATGCTCTTTTTGGTTCGTGCGTTTTTAAAATGGCACGCTTGTTCCAGACTTCCAATTCTGGAATACGCGCATTGCGCTATATGGCTGGGGGACTGTCCTGTATGGTACTCCTAACTATGTTTCATAAAGTGGTTTTTCTAGTAAAACGCTCCGATCTAGTCAAAATGGAGTATCTAAGACACAATCAGCGCAGTTAAACAACGACATAAAAGCAGTCTACGTAGGAACCTCAGAGAACTACAATGTCGCGAAAAGGTTATCCGTAAAATCCTTCCTGGTGAGTGGGCTAGCTGGGAATTATCGCATGGTGATGGCGTAATTCAAAGTTAGTAAACAAGGATATACTTCTCCTTGAAATTAACTATGGGACTTGAAGATCGCTACCACTACTACGTGATAAGTATCAACATATGCTTGGTGAACAGTTTAAAATGCGATCAGTGCTAAAGCTTATCGTTGACGGACTACATAATTCAACTTCTGGTATGATTATAACTGAATGAATTGTATTACATGGTCCATATTCGACATTCGCAGGCCCACCGACATACTTCAACTACATCGGTCTGTCAAGGCTACTGGATACCGCCTGTTATTCGACCTATTACAGACTAGAATGCTCAATCAAATTGGATTTGCAGGATTCTTTGATGCTGATGGTCCCATTGTATCGCTATGAAAGAATCGACTACGTCACTAAGTACTTACGAGTAATCTAATAAACGTTCTATCAGAGATGTAGAGTCTTATAAGGGTTAGTAGTGTGGAAGGGAAATAGTCTACTTTGATAGTAGTAGCAAATGGTTACTATCATGGTGCCTGAGTACAAAGTCCGAAAAGATGCGTTATCATGATCACTAGAATTACTTTAAATAAAGTACTTTCCGAAGTCATAAATCACGACGTTCTTCTTAATTGAGGAATATAACGTCTTTACGAATCCTCAAGCATTGACCTGACAGTGATTCACCATGAAAGCATGGCTAAGCTTCCCTAGACAAATGGAATTAAGTTTGATGAATATAGGTCCACCTTCTTCTTTCATCTCCGCTATATTCAGTAAGAAGAGAGAGAGCACCTGAAGTTTACACCTAATTCCTGCTGGATCAAGGTATCATAATTCATATCGTTTCGACTTTTTTTCGGGAAAACCGGTTTTTTCGGGTATCTAGGCATTGGTTTATGCCATGATCAAGTAATAGGGTTGTTTTTGGATTTACTTTGTTTGCGGGCTCATCATAATGTTTACTGTGGGCTTCAGAACGTTTTGGATGACCCCGTGGCCTACTTCACCGCAGCTACCCCTATGAATGTAAGGCTGATGCCCCAACTGGATATCAAAATCTTTTAGTTTGGATCGCCTACCATGTGGGGGGTTCGATTACAATTACAAAAACACCCCAATGTTTATTTGCTGTAGGGTTCAGGGTTCATCTTTTTGTTCACCATAGGAGGGCTCACTGGAATTGTTCTAGCAAACTCTGGGCTAGACATTGCTCTACATGATACTTATTATGTGGTTGCACATTTCCATTATGTACTTTCTATGGGAGCCGTTTTTGCTTTATTTGCTGGATTTTACTATTGGGTGGGTAAAATCTTTGGTCGGACATATCCTGAAACTTTAGGCCAAATCCATTTTTGGATTACTTTTTTCGGGGTTAATCTGACCTTCTTTCCCATGCATTTCTTAGGGCTTTCGGGCATGCCACGTCGCATTCCAGATTATCCAGATGCTTACGCCGGATGGAATGCTCTGAGCAGTTTCGGTTCTTATATATCCGTAGTTGGGATTTGTTGTTTCTTCGTAGTTGTCGCAATCACTTTAAGCAGTGGAAAGAACAAAAGATGTGCGGAAAGTCCTTGGGCTGTTGAACAGAATTCAACCACACTAGAATGGTTGGTACAAAGCCCTCCAGCCTTTCATACTTTTGGAGAACTTCCAGCTATCAAAGAGACAAAAAGCTAGGCGCACCTCTCCTAACTATTGCCCATTGTGAAGTAAAAAGAGAAGAAACAGAGTCGCCGACTGCTACTAAGAACCTAAACAAACTTTTTCAAATGTGGGTTCTAAAACCACTTGTGTAAGGTTCGGGGTTTGAAAGAAATTGGAGCCGACTAGCTAGGGTCCTCCAGCGAATGACGTCCCAATGGTTTCCCAATCAAAGTGGGGATTACAGATGATTCCTAGATCTTAACAAGTCCCTTTGTTTATCAAGACCAATCTATAGTAAGAACGGATGGAACGGCCGGAATTGATCATGTAGATCGACTCAAAGCACAGTATTGCCTTCTTCACATTCCTAACATGTCCCCCTGAAAGGTGTCAACAAAGAGCGCCCCCCTCTAACTAAACCGAGACCCTTGAGCTTGAACCAACAAAGCATTCCCATTGAAAATGAAGCCCACTCCTCCTAGAAAGCCACTTATCACCTTTCGGGGAGACCTCTGCTCACATGCTCCTGAAACCAAGAAAGACAAGACAAAGAATGCATAAGATGCAGAGGATTACTATGGATTCAGAGTGAGCCTTCTATTCCTATGTCTACTGGGTAGTAGAGAAGAGGCACCTTTCAACCGACAAAGCACTTATTCCTGCTCTTGTCCTGCTTGGCCAAGAAGTGTTTTAAACGGACCTTCTTCAAAAATCTCTAAAGGTGGATAATGGAAACTACTGGTCTGCTGCTTTTACGTATTCCAACTACTGTGAAAGCAAATGAAACTCCGCTTCTTGCAGGTCCCATATATAAGCGGGTTAACTAAGGTCAACTCGTCAATAAACGCCTCACTTTTTCAGCGAAGACGCAGAACCGATTTCAATTCAATGCGACGTCGTTCCAACCGTCAGTCGAAAAGGAAGGAATATTTTGAGGCGCGGGCAAAGAAAGAGAAGAGGCAGGATAATGTCTAGAGTGTAGAATAGGAGACATGCTCTCATTCAGCTAAAAATGCCCTCTTATGCGCTATCCGATCTCGATGTAAAAGTCCAATGGGTTAAGCAATGATCCTATCAATTGACTAGTTCAGTTTCTCGGGACTTCTCCTGAAAAATGACTAATGGAAAACGACCGTAATCAAAAGTAGTAATGCTCTGGCATAGCTGAAACTACGATGTCAGAAAGCTTCTCCGCGTAGAAGCCCGGAACTTCTTGGACGAAGGTCAGATTCAGCAAACGGAAAGGGTAGGTTTAGCTTTCCCACTCTCCTGCTTTCTCTAAAAATTTTCATCATTAGGATGAAACAACTCTCAATTGACTTGGTTGATTTCTCCCACATAAGCATCAAGGAATCGAGAGCAATCCTGAGATTCGGTATGGCCTATATGCGGCAAAGTTGACATCTTCGTGATTCTAGGTCAGCAATGCCCCTTAGCCGCACTCTCTTTTTTACATAGCCAACTAGTTGGTGTACTCTCCTCGACGCTGAACCTCAAGCCTTTTGTCTCAAAAAGAATGGTAACGATCTTCTTCTTTTTTAGCATTATGTTATTGTAAACCATTTGATCCCTAGTCGTCTTGCCGTGGAAGCTGGAAGCCAGATGAGCAGAGACTGTTGTTCTGAACGTCTTGAGACACATCCTATAGCTCTGCTAATTAAATCCAACGTCTTTGATCCTAGACAAGCTTGGATAGGACTATATCTCTGTCTTTTTGTTCTTGTTAACAACACTTGAACTTTGTTCTTCTTGCTATTCTTACTTTTATTCCTTATTCTTACTTATTATTTTATGTCTGGGCCCTTTATGCTGGGCACCTATGTTGATCGAGTATAGGGTCTTATCGTCTACCTTGATTCTTATCCGCCCGTATTCAATATTCGGAATGATCTTTTCATAGCCAGGAAAAACCGAAATAGTAAGGCTACTCCTTCTATATTAAGGGCCTCTGTAGAACAGAGGAAAAGCTATGAGACTAAAAACAGCTTGTGGATTAGACAGTTCTCATACTGGAAAAAAAATAGAATCTAATACTACCAGTCAATAGAGTTGTAAGTACATCATTAAATAGACACTTTATGTTGGGAAAAGGAAGATTCCCGAATGTTAACTCTACTCGAAAAAGTATAAGTTCCAAGGGATTTCAATTGCGGCTCTAGAGAACTCGTTAGTGGCTTATTGCCCTGTGCTAATTTGTGAATTTCCGCCCATTAATAAGGTCGTATCCTGTGTTAGTTTTGGTGGCATTAACCCCTATTGCACCGAAGGTTAAGGCTTTCCTTAGGGAAGGACGGAATAGCAACTTCAAGGCACGGACTTGTCGTCGATACTCTGCCCAAAACCTTTAAGGGATTCGACGACCTTGTGCACATAAAGCCTCACGATCGTTGGGGATAGCATCAGTCTTTTAGCCGAAAATGCGGCGGTGTCCTAGTCAAGTACTTGAAAGGTTCTTATCCCCTTACCTTGTATTCAAGAAATAGACAATCTCGTCTCTTCTCTTATTATAATAAATAAAAATGAGACAAGTCTCTTTTTCAGCAGCACTGATAATGCGTATGCGGAAAACGAAGGTCCTTACTTTTTCTTTCGTCTGGCCCTGACGATAAATTCGATTCGCTATCGTTCCGTTCTCTTCTCTCTCTTACCTCTTTTTTTTACTAACTTCATCAAAATAATTTATGCTCGGCCATATCCAAACATGGGTGCATTAAGAGATGCCCTCCCCCTTTGAAGTGCATTATCAGATCAGCTTCCCCATCACCGTAGAAAGAGGGTGAAGGCCCACCTACTTCTTCACTTCATGGCCTATTTTTTGTTTTGATTGATCTCCCTTTCGTATTCTTTCGATCTGGGCGAGGCAGAAAGAAAAGAGAAGTCATATTACAAAGAAAGGTTCTTTCATCGCAATGCCAAATTACGGCGGGCCTCCTCTGGATTCCTCCAACTCAAGGTTGAAGGAGGAGTATTGAGGAAGCCGGCTTTCTTATGAAAGATTCAAAACAAAAAAGAAAAAAGGGTCAACCATATCTTAATAGAAAAATCTGACTGAATGAGGAACTCGCTTTTATGTGTCCTCACTTTACCAACCATCCTGACAATATCGCGAACTTCGATTGGTGGGATAGCAGTCCATGAAGATTCTCTCCTTTTCCTTACGTGGAATTCCCTCTTTCGGTAAGCATCCAGTATCTCAGCATGAAACATTTCTCTAAGCTTATTCTGTAGCTTATACGGTCGTTTGACAGCTGCTTCAAGATCCAACGAATAGCTAAGGTTTGTTGACGATCCTGGCTAACAATCCAGGGGACATCATAAATAGTACCTGCTACTCCTACTTTTTCCAACTTCGCATATGGGCCTTTATATTCTCTATGGCGTCAACCATAAGTTTGATTACAAATCGCGTTCAGTTCGAGCTATGGCGATGAAAAATTTGATAAACAATCAGCAACGAACTTCTCGTTTCTTTTCACCGTTCTGTCAAACTTGTCGCGAAAGTTGACCAATTTCTTGATCAATTTTGTTTTATTGGCTCCCTATCCAAAGCCCCACCATAAGCTGAGATTTCCGAGCAATTGGGAGCCGCTTTCGATGACGAGGCCGAAAAATTTGAAATATTAACCAATCGTTACTGTCTCCATCTTTATCAGCCAACTCCCCTGTTTTCCATCTTTCCCTTTCAGAGTTTACCACTTCCTCATAGCTCTTTGACTTTTTAGGGTCTCGGGCTCCCTGAGTTCAAGAGTCTCATCTTGCGTGTCATACGGCTCCGCCCCGGGAATCAGGACCTCCTTTCCTTTGACCAACGGTCCTCGGAAC